AAAAAAAAAAAAAAAAAAGAACTCAAAAGCAGTGTAATTATCAGCCTGGTTGGTTCAAATTATTGTTAATTCAAAATGTTTGTACATGTAGTTTTAAACAGCGTGGTAGCACTCAAAAATATCGAATGCATTATTATTAGAAAATTAATATTTTTCAAAAAACATTTTCTCTGTTAAAATGTGTGAAACTGTTATTATTTGGTGAAGCTCAAAAAATTTCAATATATTACTGTCACTAAAATATTTTTGTTTAATAAAAAATAGTAGATATCTTCCATTTTTTTGTATAAAATTAAAAGAGGTTTAGTTAACACTAGAGAAATTTAATTTTGGTTACAAGTAAACAAATAAATACGTTTAAAAATAGCTTCTTTTTTTTTAGAACTACGTCTCGCTAGGTTTAACTGTTGTCATCAGGTAGCAAGCTTTAAATAGGATTTGTAATTTTTCTTCACTACAACTTGCAATTTCGGTAACAAAAGAGAATCCGTGAATGATGTTGAGGCGTAATATATTAATCTGCTATTTCTTCAGCAATTGACTAGTTTCGCCGAATCCACGGTTCATCAATACTGCTAAGAGTAGCGAAGTAAATATATACACAAGGTCCTATATTGCAGGGGAATGAAAACCATTTGTAGATTTTAATGTATAGTACTTTACTCACTACTTTATGTTGTTAGAGGAAAGTAAAGAGCTTTACATCTTTGAATAGAATGTACAATAGTTCAAACTGTCACACGTTACAGTATTAGTGGTGTTATTACGTTATTAAATAATAATGTAATAAATATCAGTAATATGTAAATAAGGGGAAAATAGAATAAATATAACTATGCACCTTTATTAATTATGAAATTTTTCTTTCCTCACTAAATTGTGTAATTTCAGTGAAGGAAAAAATGTTGTAACATTGTTCTTTTGTTGGGCGGGTTCTTTTAAATTATTTTGTGAAAATAATTCGAAGTCTAGTCCACGTAACGATAACAAATTAGTTTATTTCCTCCTCAAAGTTTCTACAAGAAGGTGCGCTTATTGTGGCTCGTAGGCCTGACTTTATAAATGACATTCGAATAGAAAACCTCGCTAACGGTACTATGACTGACGTAAAAATAAAACTACTTGCAAAATTTCACTAATCGATCGAATAACTATGTGATCACTAGCACTAATTATAATATTTCACTGAACTAAACTGACTGATTCATTACTCATCAAATTTTCACCACTCCTGAACTGTCTATTCGATTTTATATTTGTAGCCTAATTTCTAAACATTTCACAAAGTCACTAAAATGTTCGAATATTCTAGAATGTTAGATTTATCTTAATGTCATGTGCCCTGTAACTAACATCTAAATTATAACAAATATAGTTTTAACAGAAAGAATCCACGAATGACCTACCCGATTCAAACCCTGAAAAGTTTTCTCCTATGTGTTTTTAATTTTTGGTTTTTATTTTTTGAAAAAGATAGCGTAACGTTTTTGAAAAAAAGAGGTTTTTAACATTTACTTATTTATCAATAAATAAAAAATATTACTTAGTTTGACGCAGAGACGTTGCTAGGTTCTTAAAAGATTCGGGACTCGACCCCATAAGTGCGGGAATTTTTGTTGTTTCATATATCGATCATGGTTTTCTATTCTGATTTCTCAAGACACCAACTAGGGATTCGGGGCATTGTCAAATAGAATCGGGCACGAGCCAAGTGTGCCAGCGTCTAGCGAAGCTTCTGGTTTGGCAAGTTCTTCCGATAAATTATATTAGTGATGTTAATTTTGTGTGCTGTGCTTTTGGATTTGATTTATGAAGTTTGTTATAAATTTCTTAACATCAAAATGTCTCCAACAGAAAATATATATGTATATATATAAATAAGTAGAGAGAGTTAGAATTTGTGCATTTTAAGCATCTTATAGTTACATGTTAAAAATACATTATCATATATCGTACGTTAACATTTTATTTTAGGGAGGTAAATAGTTGCCTCCTCTGGCTCAGCGGTAAGTCTGCAGGCTTATGACGCTAAAATTCAGGATTCGATACCCCTGATTATCAGAGCACAACTAACCCATTTTGCAGCTTTGTGCTAAACAAAAATCAAAACCAACCGTAAACAAAAGCTATATAAATCAGTAGAAAGAACCTTCTACGTTCGTTTATTTTTATATATTTTTTTTGTAATTGGTAATTCTATTTGATCGAAATGTAAAGGGAACCAAAGCATAAATAAACTATGCTGTTTTCGCTTAATATATGTTTCCAATATTTTAGATAATTAGCATAAAATAAGGGAAGGTACATATTTATATTTATTTATAAATTTCTTAGACTTATCACCTTTAGATGAATAATTAGGTAATTTTCACTAGGAACAAACTTCAGTTATTCATATGTTTTGTTTGATAAAAATAGATTGACAGACGTTTTCCACACATTGTTCAACTTTTTAAGTTTTATTCCGTTTAAGTTTTCGGCACCAGTGCTGGCGTCTTCGTCAGGCACAATTTTTGTTAATGTAGGCCTAATTAAATTGTTGTCAGTCTAGAGCGAATTTTTAAATATTGTACACATTAACTTTCAGAAAAATTAATGATCATAAAGTAATATTTTTAATCAACTAGATCGCACTACCGTTGTCTCTTTACGTTGCTACATAATTTTTAAACGAGTAAATAACTTCACTGGAAAAAAAATGAGTAGAGAGAGTGAAAAAACTTCGTATATAGCAGCTGAGAGTAATGAGGCAATGTCTTCGGAAGTGAGGGTAAGTATATAGTACTATTCAAGTTATTTTTCAGAACTGTTAACCAATTCCAATATAGGGTTCAAACAGCTAAAAACAAGATTTTTAGTTATTATTGTTGATAAGAGATAAAAGACAGTACATATTTCTTAATTTTAGTTTAAAAACTCAATATTATCAAGGAGTTTAATTAATCACAAATGAAACCACTTGTTACACTTATTAACCAATAAACTACTTATATATTATCAAAGGTGGTTTTAAAATTAACATGAGAAGATACAAACAAATGTGTATAGCTTTACGTTTAAAAACAACAGGCATATTGGAAGTTCAACATAACTACACTTTGATAAAGCTGAATTTGGGCCATTCTGACTTCCAGTCAGATCTTTGATATCTAACTCTTTCATACATTACCTGAGAATTGTTAATGCCCAAATAGCCTAATGACTTACGTGCATATTTATCAACAGGTTAAAATGGATGTGGAAAACCATTAAATATGTTTAAACAACATTAAAGCAAAAGTAACAGTGATATATGTAACACAATAGCAGAGATATGCTAAAAAGTATAAAATATGTGAGTTTCGATTCTATGAAAGCAATTTTTCTTTCATATTAATAGCAATTAAGAGATTGAATAGGTTTCTAGAAACGTAGTTAATAAGATAATTATAAGCAAATATATTTTCAAAATTATCATTACATAACTGATTAAAAATTAGAACATTGGGGATACTTTTATCTTGTTTCTTCTGTATTTTGTACGGTGATATCATAAGCATAAAAGAACATCAATTGTTTATTCAGAGGTGTTTATGTAATGTTTATGCGAAATATATATTTATCAGTCACTGCTTTGCTAGAAAATTAAATTTAAGTAGCGAAGTTAGAAATAGTTCCTCGTATGTGCGTTCAGTATACTTGGACTATAACTCACAGTGTTCGATATTTGTTAATTTTAGGAATTAAAAGATGAGAACGGGAGATTGAAAAAATTATTAGCAGAAAAAGATTTTGAAATCAGACGGTTAACGAAAAAACTGAACGATAAAGAGAATGTGCAAGGTAGAGGTTTTTATATTTTTGGTTAGTTTTTTTCATTCAGTAGTGGTTCAATATTTTTCTGGGCTTGGCATGGCCTGATGGTTAGGGCATGCGACTCGCAATCTGAGGGTTGCGAAGTCAAATTCCGTCCCCGAACATTCTCGCTCTTTGGAGACGTTATAATGTAACAATTAATCGCACTATTCGTCGGTAGAGAGCAGTCCAAGATTTAGTGGCGATATATCACTTCAAAATTAGAGATAGCCAGCGCAGATAGCCCTCGAGTAGCTTTGTGCGAAATCCCAAACAAACAATCAATATTTTTCATATTCTTTTTTAAACAGACGAATTCACAACAGTAAAAACAAGAAAAATTACACTATCAAATAACATTAAAAGCACACCACACAGGTAGTTACAGAAAACCTAAACTAGCAAATGTAAACCTAACGTTCAAATTGTCAGTATTAAACGCCTTGCCAAAGGCGGAGTTCTGGTTAAAGGTTTTGCTGCAGCTGACATTAACAGTCTCCTTAAAGAATGGCCAGAAGATGCCTTCAAACCAGGAAAAATCTCAGTCCATCTACCTGTAAACAAACCTAAAAACAACGCCTTTGTAATAAGGTGTATATATACACACTACACTATTACAACAGAGCACGTGCAGGATAAGCTTAAAAAAGACAACCCTACTCTAAACCAACATCCTGGGGTGCCAATATAACTCTTCTAAGTTTTGCAACAGTATCCGGTCATGTGACCTTTGTTCAATACAGTATATATATATATATAT